GTACATGCTGTAGCTACCTGGCTCTCGCTGCCTGTCTGCTACTGCCTGCACTCACATGTCCCACCCCAAAGGCAGCTGCAGGCAGCTCCTTGTCCCCTCCAGGCCTCTCACCCCACCTCCTCTTCCAAGCCCGCTTCCCTCCCCCTCCCTCTGCGTGCCCTTGCACCTACATAGTTCAGCATGGCCACGTGCACCTTGACTGGTGGTAAAAGACCACAGTGGGTGTCATGAGGCAGAGTTGGCCTGAAATGTTACTAACTACATTTTAAAAGGACAGTCTGCTAGTAGCTTCTGTCCCAGACCATAGACAGATTTCCATCTTGCCCCAGAACCTGGACACTGATCTGATGTGTATCTGGCTCAGTAAGTGATTATGAGCCATTTGAACCCTATGTTGGACACCCCTGTTCTACCCCAAAAGTTCTCGGGCTCTTTTCGTTGTGTGGGTTGTGCTGTGAATGCCTCCCTTCCATTTACCACGCCCCTCGCCCTCCATTTGCCATCATTTAGCCCCACTTTCCATCCCATAACCTTCCTGTGCCAATTCCAGCAGATGTTTACATGGAAGAGAAGTAGTAGGGAAGTCTTAAGGGATGTTGGTTGTCTCTTAATATGACTTGACTTAGCTGAGCTGGAGAGCCAGCCCCATGGCAGCAGCCACTGCTTTGCTGATCAGTCTGAGAACTGCTGTTCTGCATTTTCATAGCCTTTAAGGATGATATTTTGAACTCTGTGGTGCAGAAAGATGCCCACTCAGCCTTTAGATATCATCAAACAGCACCCTGGTTTTCTGTGCAGGCCCCTCTAACACTGTGCCAGCAGGAGGCACTGTTCCCTTAGCTTTTAGGATACTGCTAAGGAAAGAGGAGAGGGGAGATTGAGTTGCTCTCTCCCGAGATGTACTTGGCCCTGTCTCGATGCAGAGGGCTGGACTAGATGACCACTCGAGGACCCTCCTAGCCCTGTGCTTCCATGATTCTAAGATGCTGCAAAACTGAACTTGGATTTTCTGGCCAAAGCAACAGGCTCGTGTGAGGCAGAGTAAAGGACTGCGTGGGTGGTTCCCTCTGGGCAGTCAGCTTGTTACAGCTTGGTAGGTGTCAGAAGGGAGGGAAGTTAATTCACAAAATGTGATGAATGGAGGTATGCTCAGGCTTGCAAAACCTTGCTCACTGTGAGCTTGAGTTTCCTTGCTGATCCGTGAAGGGAGACAGAGCCCAAGCCCGGTTGCAAATGGGGCATCATCTTTGGGGTTCCATGACCGTTCCCTTCTCCCCGAAGGAGATGATACTTAGCCCGACTGTGAGTGCTGCCCTCCCTGCTCCGCTGGGCTGGCATTTCCATTCATCTCCTTTTTCAGAGCCTCTTGTTTTGGCTATTTTAATTCCCCTCCTGCTGGAACTCAGTGTGGGGCATGTCACCTTTTAACCAAGCATCACTGCAATCCATCTGGCCTTCCAGCACTTGCGATTAACGTGCAGCCCTGTTGGTATCGGTGTAACAAAGGCCAGCCCTTGGATTGAGTTACAGCATCATCTGTCCGGAGGAGGAGGAGCTCTCTATCAGAACTCATTCAGCAGGCCATGGTAAATCACAGAAGAGCAGCTCGGCAGATTTTGGCAGCTCCAGTGAACTTAGATGACATTTCAATTCATCTGCAACTCCCATTTCAAGGCAAAAGCTCATGTGTGGTGAGAGTATTTGAACTAAATAGTGAATCAGATCAGGTCTCTGCCCACTCACACTCTTCAGCAGGAAACCATAGTTGCAAAGAATTGCTTTGTAGTGTAGGTTGTTCCATCTGCAGTGGAAAGCAGCCTCCCCCCCTTTCCCCCCAATATTGTAGGCTACCGCCCTTTGGTACTATTTATACATCTGATCAACAGGAAGGATGCCTAAAACAAGCCTCCAGTTACACAAGGGCAGTAAAAAGAACAGGAGTACTTGTGGCACCTTAGAGACTAAGGTGTCTGTACAGATTTGTTCCTGTGCTTTGTCAGGGAGTTTTTTTTTTAGCAGATGGTGTAGTTTCTTTAGGTAATCCTCAGTGGGATCAGAGGATAATGGCCTGTAGAATGTGGTGTTAGAGAGCTGTCTAGCAGCCTCTTGGTCATATTACAATTTATTCATGATTCAAGTGACATCATCATAGGACCTAATCACATCAGCCATACCATCAGGGGCTCGTTCACCTGCACATCTACCAATGTGATATATGCCATCATGTGCCAGCAATGCCCCTCTGCCATGTACATTGGCCAAACCGGACAGTCTCTACGCAAAAGAAATGGACTCAAATCTGACATCAGGAATCATAATACTCAAAAACCAGTGGGAGAACACTTTAACCTGTCTGGCCATTCAATGACAGACCTGCGGGTGGCTATCTTACAACAGAAAAACTTCAAAAACAGACTCCAACGAGAGACTGCTGAGCTGGAATTGATATGCAAACTAGATACAATCAACTCAGGATTGAATAAGGACTGGGAATGGCTGAGCCATTACAAACATTGAATCTATCTCCCCTTGTAAGTATTCTCACACTTCTTATCAAACTGTCTGTACTGAGCTATCTTGATTATCACTTCAAAAGTTTTTTTCTCTTACTTAATTGGCCTCTCACAGTTGGTAAGACAACTCCCACCTGTTCATGCTCTCTGTATGTGTGTGTATATATATCTCCTCAATATATGTTCCACTCTATATGCATCCGAAGAAGTGGGCTGTAGCCCACGAAAGCTTATGCTCTAATAAATTTGTTAGTCTCTAAGGTGCCACAAGTACTCCTGTTCTTTTTGCGGATACAGACTAACATGGCTGCTACTCTGAAACAAGGGCAGTAGTTGCTTTTCCCTGCTTTTTTTGGTCTCACACAGCAGGCGTGTTAACATTCAAACCCTGCAATACTCGTAATTCTGGAGTAGGCAGTCCTGATCCATTGTAAGTAATAATACCCCCCGTTCTTATAATTTGTTTGTGATCACTTCATTCTGAAGCACTTGACAAACCACCTATTAAACATGATACCTGTCTTATAAAATAGGATCCCCAAATCCTAGTAACTTACATTGCACTGGTTATTGTTGTTTGTTGCATATAATATTTAGCAAAGGTCTGATGTGCAAAAGCACCTGACTGTGCAAATAAAACTTGTAACTGCTGCTGTTTGAGCAGTCGACGGGGTTAGAACAGGGGGTGGGGTGGGGTGGGGTGGGGTGGGGGGGAGAATGTACCTTAGTCTTGATAGATGACTTCTTTAACTGAGTTTTTTATAGTACTTTGGCCAATTGATTTCTAAAGCAAAAATGCCTATATCCTGCCTCTCCCCCTACCCTCCAGAAGCCTTAGAACTGCTCTAATTCACAATTCCTTTCATTCTCATGAATGAGAATGGGGTGTCAATTTAGTGTGGTTATTGCTTCCCGAACCACCTTCCCTGACCCCTGCAATCACAGTGCACTGGGCCTGAGTGCTTAGAGCCCCAGGGCTGGAAGGAATTTATTGTATTTCCCTTCTCTCAGTAGGTGTCCTCAGGAGTCGGGATCACCGGTGATTACATATGTTTGAGTTAAAAATAGTGCTCCTGCTCTGACGGATCAGCAGCCAAGGCCTAGCCTCAGGCAGGAAGTTAGTGCTCCAGGCTGCACTATCAAGTGGGCCTGCAACCACATTTCTGTCTTAATATTGGATCTGCTGCTGAACTAATGCCATCTATGTAAACCTGATTATGCTTCCCTTGCTCAGGGCTACCATTTTCCTTGAGCAAGAAAATGAAGCAAAGTGAGGTGATCTGGAAGGCCCTCTAGGCTTTGGCTACACTCTGGTTCTTCAAGAGGGAAGGACCTAGTGGCCAGGGCCGGCTCCAGGGTTTTGGCCGCCGCAATTCGGCGGGAGGTCCTTCGCTCCGAGCGGGAGTGAGGGACCGTCCGCCGAATTGCCGCCGAATACCTGGACGTGCCGCCCCTCTCCGGAGCGGCCGCCCCAAGCACCTGCTTGCCAGGCTGGTGCCTGGAGCCAGCCCTGCGAGTGGCTATACTCCTATCCCCTCTTCCCTTATTATTAATACTGTTTAGCCTTGCACTGTCTGCTGCACTGAACTGTTTCCGATCCATGCTACAGCTTTGACCTCTAGCAGCTGAGTCTTCTCTCACTACCACTCTGAACCGCCTATCGGGGTAAGAAGGGCTCTCTGGGCTTCCACAGCTGGGCCTCGAACTGCACCTCTGATGTGCTCCAGTCTCCAAGGGAGATGGTCTTTTTCTGCCATAACTGTCCCCTGCCCTGGACTCAATCGTGCCTTGGGCAGGGCTAGAAGCACAGAGGCAGCGACTCCCATGTGGGTGCTGAAGGCAATGCGGCTGGCTGGGGGCCGTGGGGTGGCAGCTCAGGTGTGCCCGGATGAGGGAGGCCCATCTTGTGCAATTGGGGGTCTGATCTACGGCATGGGAAGGGCCCCTGGTGCCTGTAGGGGGAGGACAGCCCAAGCTCTGTGCAGGCCCCATGGGATGGGGGGGGTTGGGGCAGCTGCTGCCCTTGGACCCACTGTGGATGGGCACCCTGCTGGGAAGGGGGCCTGTGGCTCTCCTCCCCTTTGCGCTGGGGGGGGGGGGGGGCAGGGATGGGAGGAGCCTGCAGCAGAAGCCCCGCCCCTAGCGACCGTGAGGCTTTATTACCATAGTGCAGGGGAGGAGCTTGAGGCGTAAGCCCCGCCCCTTACAGCCGTTCCGGCGGGGGTGAGTCCTGAGCTGTGGCACCCCGCCCGCTGCTGCCTCTCGCTGGGGGGGGCGGAGCTCAGGCCTGCAGACACGCCCCTTCCCGCTCCCCACCAATCGCGTGCTCCCATCGACGCGCTGCCCCCGCCCCCCCGCGGGAAGGAGGCCGGACCGGAGCGCGAGCCGCGCCCCTCCGCCAATGGCAGGGCCGCGCCCGCCCTCTCCTCAGCGGGGCCCGGCGGGAGCGGGAGCGGGCCCGGGCCGGCGGAGGAGGCGCGCGGCGGGATGGCGGTGTGGACGCGCGCCGCCAAGGCGGGGCTGCTGGAGCTGCTGCTGCGGGAGCGCTGGGTGCGGGTGGCGGCGGAGCTGAGCGGCGAGGCGCTGAGCCTCACCTCGGAGCCGCCGCCCGAGCCCGCGGGGCCGCCCAACGGGCTGCCCAACGGCGCCGAGTGGGGCGCGGCGGGGGGCGGCCCGGAGCCCCGCCCGCTCTCGCCGCCCCCGGCCGAGCCGGCGCCGCCGGGCGTGCGGCGGGTGCGGGTGGTGAAGGCCGAGGCGGGCGGGCTGGGCATCAGCATCAAGGGCGGGCGCGAGAACCGCATGCCCGTGCTCATCTCCCGCATCTTCCCGGGGCTGGCGGCCGAGCGCTGCGGCGCCCTGCGGCTCGGGGACGCCATCCTCTCGGTGAACGGCACCGACCTGCGCGACGCCACCCACGACCAGGCCGTGCAGGCGCTGAAGCGGGCCGGCCGCGAGGTGCTGCTGGAAGGTACCGTGTGTGTGTGACACCCCCCCGGCTCCCGGAGCCAGGCTGGCCTTGTGGGGGAGGCAGCGGGCGAGACTGGGCTCCCGGTGCGACCCTGGGCAAGTCCCCGAAGCCGGTCTGCGGCTTGCATGCGCCGATGTGTCTGTACAGCGCCTCGCACGCTTGCCCCCCCCCCCCCGCCTGGCCTGTCCTCTCCAGGCGCTGCTATAAGACAGATAGTATCGCTGTTAGTGTATGTCCGGGCTCTGAAATCCTAGGGCTTAAGGTGGCATGGAGGGTTGTCTGTGTACGGTCTAGAGGCAAACGCTGGGGGTGAAATGAAGAGCTTGTCTGGGTCATGGTGCAGTATGATCCCCAAAGTGGTGGGCTCTTGCAGGGCGGGAGTATGTGTAGGAGCAGCAGCCCGGTGTGTACATCTGAGCTAGATACTTGGTTACTTTGGGTTGGTCCAGCAGAATCTTGCTTTCCTGCAGCTGCTCATTCATACCCCGTCCCTGGGCAGGGGAGCTCTGTTCACAGGTGCAGCTCTGTAGGCAGGAGAGTGCCTGAAAACAAGCTCCTCCCGCTGACTTCGTGTGTGGGCCTAAACTGAACAGCTCTATCGCTTGCAGTTTTCCCTCATTTGCATTTCAAAGCTCCTACTCTGTGGCATTTGTCCCGGTTGGGTTCTCCGTAATACAGAAGCAGAGCAGTGGGGATAGCCATTGAGTCCTCTTTGGAGATGCTGTCTATAGGGCTGCTAGAGTGAAAGCTCTTGTTTCACAGTCTGTCATCTCTAAGTAGCCCAGGGTTAGAGGGGACAAGTCCTCACCCCAGCCCTTGTAGTGGATCTACTATATGGAAGTGTGCTTGCATTCCCGGGATTGGAAGATGTGGCAGTGGGTGTAAGTCCATGCCTGATTTGTCTGTTTTAGGGGAATTCATGACAAGTAGCCTGGGGGCCCCAAACTGCAAGTGAAGATGTAATTTGGCTCCTCCCTTCCTTTCTTAGGGGAATCGTTCACTGCCTGGCTCACATGCTAGCAGCAACATCTGCTCGCTGCTAAGCCCCAGCCCATGGTGAAAGCTTTAGTGCAATTCTGATACTCAAGTCTGTTGTTGTGGCTTTGCCTCCAGTAGAGATGCTGCTGCTATTCTGCAGTTGCTGAGTGGGGTAGCGTCTGCAATTGAACCCGCAAGGTAGTATTTGTGGTTGGAAGTCCCTTATAGCTGAGGGCCTGTAACTGAGAATGCAGCTGTACAGACCTGTCCGTGGGTGCTTGAGCAGTAAGGTTTGTGAGTGATGTGCTCCAACGCCACTGGAACAGTTTAAACGCTGGGCTGCAAAGCAACCGGCCAAAGTTTTCTGTTTGCATGGAGTTGGAGGCACATGCTGTCAGCTATTCCAAGCAGTCCTCCCTTAACTAGAGGCCCATGCTGATGTGTTGGTTTTGTGGGAATGAGTCGTCTCCCTAACGGAAAGTCATTGGTGGCCTAAAACCTTTATGAAGGAAAGCAAACTGCAATATTAGGTGATGGATTTGGATATGTTCTGTAAAGTTACTAGAATCAAACTGCTGATTGCTTGTGTGTGGGTGGCATTCTGCAAAGAACCTTGAGCTCTGGGACTCACAGCTTGGGACTGCAGGTTGGATGGGATGATCTGGGACGGGTTCTCAAACTGCAGGTCGTGACCCAGGTTATTACGTGGTCATGAGCTGTCAGCCTCCACCCCGCTTCTCCTCCAGCATTTATAATAGTTAAATATAAAGAATGTTTTTAATTTATAAGGAGGGCTCGCACTCAGAGGCTTGCTACGTGTGAAAGGGGTCACCAGTGCAAAAGTTTGAGAGCTGGTCTGGAAGAAGCTGGGATGGCTTCACAGCATCATTTCCTGTGCCCTGAACATCCTGGCTCGGACAGACTGCTTATGTGTCAAGAGCCTTGTTTGATGAAAGGTCTTGCAAAGCGTCTACATGCTGGTGCAAAGAATGTGATGGGAGAGGTGCTGGTGATTGGAGGCAGATCCAGAGGGTCTTAAAAGAGGAATTTACCTGTGGAAAGCTGAAATATGCAGCAAGCTGACCCACCGTTGGTGGTGAGGGTGACTGCATTATCTGGAAGATTATAGCAGTAAGAAAACCAGAAAGCTACATTCAGAAGGGTTGTAAATTGCACGTAATTTGTTTAATACTGTGAAAGAGTTTGATTCTTGCTAGAGGTAAAAGGTGGTCCAGGTTTGATATTCCTTTGGGAAGCTGTTTCCTTGAAGTCTGCATGCTGTGGTATGGAGATGTTGGTATTTTTAGAGTGTTGTCTATTTATTTATTACACAACTTTGTGATTAAAAGGAGTTGAGAGCATAAATTATCTGCTGGTCTAGGGAGTGACTCTGTCATTAGTAATCTGTGGTAGCAAGTAGGGGAAACTGAGCGGTTTCTCTTCTAAACCAAACAGAAAAATGAATCTTAGTTTGCAAGATGCATCAGGAAAGCAGACAGAGAAACCTTGATTTCTGGAGAGGTAATTCCATTTTAAGGCCTACAGTTCCTGCATTGAGCTGTTTGGGTAGCTGGAGAGCCAGAGGGAGTGAGTCTGCTCTTCTACTGCCTTCCGTGGGCTGCCCTTTCTCAACGACATTTATGATTCTAGTGAGAACTGATGCCTGAAGCTGCCAATAGAGCTTCCTTTTAAAGTCCATCAGTGGTTATTAGCCAAGATGGTCAGAGATTCAAACCTGTGCTCTGGTGTCCCTAAACCTCCAACTTTCTGAAGCTGGGAGTGGACGATGGGATGGATCACTCGAAATTGCTCTGTTCTGTTCATTCCCTCTGAAGCACCTGGCATTGGCCACTGTTGGAAGACAGGACACTGGACTAGATGGACTTTTGGTGTGACCCAGTTTGGCCGTTCTTGTGTTCCTGTACTCTGACAGATGGCTGCCAGAACAGGGGTGGGTTTGCAGTGTAGCTGCCGCCTCCGGAATTTACCGTCTTGCAGCAGGCCTAAGGTTGTCGAAGTAAATCCTGCAGTACTCAGAGGCTAGATGTTCTAATTCTAGTACAGCTTTCTAAATCCTCCCTGTGCTCATGTGGCTGATTCTGAGGTACCTTCTTCCAGTGATTGCTGCTAACGATTACATTAACCCTTTAAAATGTAAAGCCTGAAACTGCTGACCTGTGGTAGAGTCCTGAGTCAATGGAAGGCTTGGTGGCATTGAACCTCTGGTTTGCAAACTGGGCTAGAAATCTCATGAGACTTTGCTGGGAGATTTCCAGCACTTCCTGGGCCTTTCTGTCACAGCCAGTGACTGGCGATAAGAATTCAGTCCTGGTGGAAGTAATTGGTGTAAAAGTGATCAACATGACAAGAGACTGCATAATGTTCTGCCATGCAAAGCAAATATGACTCTAGCACTACCATTCTTTGACACGCTCAGACAAGAAATATAAAATAATCCAGCCTTCCAAGAGCTCAAACGAGTAATTCTAGATGGATGGTCAGTGCTTTGGGACTGCCAAGATAAAATTGCTGCGTACAATGGGATTCCATTCAAAAGGCAGTGTCGTAATACATTACAGTATCAGGCTGGAAATGCTGAGCATAATGCACTGATTCCCATCGGGGTACAGAGATGTGTAAGAACTGCCCATAGGCTGTAGTTGGGTGCATTCTGGGCATTGATGGTGTAGGTGCTTCCTTCAGTAGCAGAGTGCAGTTCAGCACATTTCCCATCTTGGCATTTTTGTTTGTTTTTGCTATGGCTGCCCACAAATGTCAGTTTTTATGTTGATTTTTGGGCTGAGGAACTGGCTTGAGAACACACATGTTTTCACATACAGCACCAAACAGCCATTATACGGGGTCTACTGAGGCCACGTTCAGTCTGGACTGCATTAGAATTGGTGACCTAGAGTAAAAAGGGTATGCAGTCCATTACCCATATCCCTGAACCCCCTTCTGAATTTTGAAGGGACTCGGTAGTGCTGCTGCCGGGTTGCTAGAGTTATAACATGAGGGGCTCCAGCTGGTGCACAATTGTGAACTCCAGCATGAAGACTAGAGCTGCCAAAGGATGCTGATTTACCCCAGCTCAGCTGTAACCTGATAATTTGAGCCTTTGGGGCCTCTGGAGAGAAAGTCAGCGTTGCTCTGCAGTGGCTGGGAAAAGATTTCACGTCACTTCACTAGCTCCAATCACAGTTATTGCTTTTAACAAAAAATGGACTTGTCACTTGCACTCTCCATGGCATTACATTTCAGCTGATGGGATTGCAGGCTGGTCTCTAATTATTGGCCGAGAAGCAGAGAACGTTTCCATTCAGGTCTTATGTGCCAGACTTAATATTTCTCCTCCTCCATCTGTTTCCCCTTTCACTCCTTGTCTCGTATTGTAAGGTTCCTTTTATCCTCTTGTACAGAAGAACAAATAACTACATTTTTAGAAGTTTGTACTGTACGTTTCACCTCAGTCATAAGAGACAGCTCTGAGATGCCAGAGCTCAAAAGGCAGCCTCCCTCACTTTACAATCTGGAATGCATTACAAGATGCTTCTTGCTTTCTAGTGGGGATTGTAAAGTTACTAGTTCATCAGCTGTACGTTATCTAGTGACCCATTAGTACATGGCTCAAATGAGAGCCTCTTTGGGGTTTGTATATTCATGTAACAAGAACCAGGGGTCGCCCAATGAAATTAATGGGCAGCAGTTTTAAAACAAACTTAAGGAAATACTTCACACAACGCACAGTCAAGCTGTGGAACTCCTTGCCAGGGGATGTTGTGAAGGCCAAAAAGGAATTAGATAAGTTCCTGGAGGATAGCCAAAATGGTCAGGGAGGCAACCCCATGCCCAATGTCTAACTGCCAGAAGCTGGGACTGGATGACAGGATGCGTAACTTGAAATTGCCCTGTTCTGTTCATTCCCTCTGAAGCATCTGGAACTGGCCGTTGTCAGACAGGATATTGGGCTAGCTGGACCATTGGTCTGACCCAGTCTGGCCATTCTTATGTTCCAGCATCTC